GGCAAATATTTCAACTATTGTTGAGATGGTTGTTATCTTAGTAACTGGCTTTTTTTTGTTGCTTTTGCTCTGTTTGATTAATTCAGGTAGCGTGTGAAATTGCCATGTTAACCTTGTCCAGTCAATGCCAGGGTACATTTTTGACAGTGATGGATCTATCTCGATAGTTTCTGACTCTAAGTTTGCCGAGTTCAATAAAAGCGTTTTCATATTAATGGCGTTTTTTACAGATGGCTGCTGAAACCTCAAGTCAAGTTCACCAATCAAGAGGTCAACGACTTCATAAAACTTTTGTCTGAAATAATCAGAAACATCTATGAAAATATGAGGTCCTGAGCCAGAATCTAACTACCGTGGTTGTTTTCAAGTCCGTGGAATTGACGGCTCACTTACTTCCAAATCATCAGCTTCAGATTTTACTTCCTTGTAGAACTGATTAAACAATGTATCTCTTAATCTTTGCAAATACTGTTTGATAACTGTGACACAATTCATAGCATCAGTTAAGGACAAGGCTTTCGTTTGCAACGTATCTGAAGCCTTTTCTGTTGCATTAAAAATAAGAAAACACATTTTCACGCTAAAATATATTTCAAATTTTTGAAGCTGTTGCGATATTCCCCTCGCTTTGGACCCAGAGTCATCTAATACCAATTCTCCAATTTCTGCCATTGCATTTATAACAGATTTGTAATTCGTTTTTTCTAACAATGCTTCAAAGGCACTAGAACGAACAGCACAACGAGTAGGACACAATGGCTTCAGGTTGTTAATAGGACCTCCGTCATTGTAATCAAACGAAATCTGCTGCCTGATTTTATCAAAGACAGTAAATTTCTTAGGTGAATTCTTTACCATGTTAGCAATTTCAGATACAAGTGAAAGACTGTCTTGGACCAAAGTGCATTGTCTGGTACAGTCTTGCAAACACAAGTTTAAACAATGTGCAAAGCAATGGAAAGAAATTGCTGCGTTGCTTTCTTCTTTCATTTGAGCCGCTAGGCCACGTAAATATCCTGTCATATTTGCTGCTCCATCATAAGCTTGGCCACGGCAGTTTTATAGACTTAATGAAAATCGGAGTAGAACATCTTTAACAGTTTTTGTTAAAAAGTCGGCCTCTAATTGCTCTAGTTTATATAGACCAAGGAAGCCCTCGTGCACATCATAATTTTCATCAACCCAACGTATACAAATTGATAGCTGCTCTTTGTTTGAAATGTCCCTGGATTCATCCCCTATAATGGCGAAGTGTTTCGAATTCTGGATATGTAATAACAGCTTTAAAATCACCGCTCGGCCAAAAAGTTCTATACACTTATTTGCTATTATTGGGGACAAGTAGTTTTTGCTCTGGAGCCAATTTTGTAGCCCTTTTACATCTTGAGATCTCAGTAACATCAATTGTTTAAGGTTGCCCTCTGTTTCTGTATGACCACGTATTGCAAGACCTTGACTTTAAGGACGATAGTTCTACTAAAAACATTTGTTGTCTTTTACTCTGGCTTTGTCTAATCTGCTTTAAAAGTTGACTTGTTACAGATTTTGCCTTTTGATTTATAAGCTGGAACTTTTCTAAGGCTTCCCTATGGGAGTCACTTGTTTCGTGCTCATTAAATTTAGTAACTGCCTTCTTCCAATTGTCGAATCCTGTTGTCATAAAGGCAGGTTCCTTTCTTTTGCTTAAGTCAAGTTTGTTGATACTTTCAATAAATCGAAAATAGAACCAAAATACTTTATATCTTGTTACGCAGAGTGTTAGCCACGACCATTTAGTATACCATGACTTTTGAAACATTCTAAACTCTTTTTTGATTCCAGTTTGTTTTTTTGTCATTTTGAGTATACATTCATCATCTGGTTGGTAGGATTAGTACAGATTTCTGCGTTTTTCTGACTGTGACTGGAGGATGCCCCGTCTGTGGGGTATTTGCATCTTTTGACTCCTGTCTGTAAGTAAAAAAAAAAGTTACATAGTAAATTTTAAGGCTAAATATTAGGTGTTGTTTTTGATTTTTTTTAATGGATTATTTAACTATAGTAGAGTTTGTGTAACGGAAATAGATGTACTCACGTTAGGCTAACACTGTTGGTAAAAATCCTCGATTCGCCTACGCTTCAAAGTCATTGTTAATCGGATTGATAAGATAAATACTGTAATTTAATAATTTATATTTGAATTAAATAATTTTTCATTTAGTCAAGCTGAAACAATGTAGTAACAAAATAACAATTTAAAAAATTGTATGAACATAAAAAAAGTAGATAAAAACGTTTTCAATAAACTACAATTTTTTTTTTTAACTTTACGTATTTTAAAATTGTATTGCGTTCTTTCGCATTTCGAACGTTCGATTGAATTGATTTAAATAATATCAAGATTAATAAACTTTAAGCATATTCTTTATAAGCAAAATTTTACTTCTGTTTTTAAAATTTAGTCTAGTCTGTTGTTAAAATTTTAAAGGGTTATTAAAAGTAATATGTATGTTTTACTATAACTACCTTTTATACAACATGTTTTTCAGCGCAATGACTCCATGAAAAACTGTAGTCATCTTTTGCCAGTACATTTAGAAAACAGTTAGTATGTGATAGTATCTTAAACAGTTTTATCGATATACTTTTCCATGGAGATGTTTAATTGTGATTGAGTCATTGCAGACTGGAAAATGATAATTCCGCTGTTGATATCACAAAAAAAATTTATTAAACTGTTTAGGAAATGGGGGGGCTAAATAAAGTGTCTGCCCCCCTCCAGTGTTTTAGTTGGGGCTATCACTTCCTCCGCTTCCCCTGTTCCTACGCCACTGATCGCTTTATTAGTGAATCAATAAAGCTTTATTAGTGAATCAATGGCCTGTGTTTTTGTAACATCTGTAACTCGAAATATATTGTTACTGTTGTATTGTTGTTGTTCAAATTTTTTTTGAATTCGAAATTCTTTTGTTAAGTAGTAAATATTTTTTTCTATATTTTTGGTTTCTTTATCAAAAGTTGTATTTAAATTGAGTATTAATTTAAAAGTACTTTCTAATTTTCTTTTTTTTTTCCCAATTTATTATCTATTTGTTTATTAAATTATTTGCTTTACTTTTTCAGTTTGGATTAAATATTTTTTCTTATTTATTTTTACTGACCGTTAGATAAACATATGCGCCATCCTTAAAAACATTGCATTAAAAAAAAAAAACGTAGATTAGTATTTAGATCCTAAGGTTTTTAAAACATATAAAAAAAAAAGAGATTAAAAAAAAATTATTTCATTTCGATTATAAATAATTTAAAAAACAAGGCCATTTTTTTATTGAGCATTTAAGGCACGAAAGAAAATTAGTTCAAAATTGTCCAATAAGACATCAATTACTTATATCCCTTATTAAATTAACGCATAGTCTTCTTAACACTCAAGCATGCATGGTTAACAAAAAAATAAAAGCAATAAATATCTAGAAATAAACTTTCAATTGCAGCTAATAAAGCATTTAATAAACTCGAATAGGATTTTCCACCACTTTTGCAAAGAGTATTTACAAAATGAAAAATTTAAACATTGATATATCAAATAAAGCAAATAAAATAAAAAATTACATTGAAAATCATTGTTATAAATCATTATTTTGTTAAGCTTTATCTTCATAGTTTAGAGGCGACGACACGGAGGCCGGGGGATATTGTACTGATTTTTTTATACATTTTTGAGCTATTTGTCTGCATTTTGTCCCAGAACCTTTAGTTTTAATATGTATTTTTATCTATTTATTTTAGGTGCCCCAAGAAATCCTTCAGGGTGGTCAGCCACTTTGTACTATTAAATTCCCTGACTTTTTATATTTTTCATTGACTCAGTTATATTTTGAAGTGTGAGTTTTTAAGTTTTGTCGTTCGGGAGTAAGTAAAAAAAAAACCTTTGAAAAAATTTTTTAAAAGAGATTTTTTTTGATTTTGAAAAAAATTTGAAAAAAATTTTTGAAAAGAGATTTTTCCCCCTGACTTTTGGAACAAAAATTAAAAATCCCTGACTAGAAAAAACTCCCTGACTTTTCCCTGATTTCCAGTTGGGTGGCCTTGTCCTTACGGTCTTATAATAGAGCACCGCGGAAGAGCATTTGAAAGGAAAATCACGCCTTCTTTCCTTACCGATGTTATAAAACTTGCCCAGAGGCGGCGTTGAACCATGGATCTCTAGCTTTGGAGGCAAGGACGCCAACCACTGCGCTACGGATGCTCATATAGTAAAAGCAAAGTGGTACCCTATTCTAAAAACTTTAAACTTTTTGATTTGAAGTCATTAAAATAAAAGAATAAGATTATTTTTATCAGACCAGGTCTCGTAAAAAATTTTTACAATTTTTGTTAGAAAGAGCCTGAGATCCAAAGTTCGAAACGAGTTATGCTATCAATTTAATTATGTTTTTTACTCAGATTAATATTAATAACATTATATTAACCTAGGTCGTATCTAGTCGTCAAAACTATAACATTATATTAACCTAGGTCGTATCTAGTCGTCAAAACTATAACATTATATTAACCTAGGTCGTATCTAGTCGTCAAAACTATAACATTATATTAACCTAGGTCGTATCTAGTCGTCAAAACTATAACATTATATTAACCTAGGTCGTATCTAGTCGTCAAAACTATAACATTATATTAACCTAGGTCGTATCTAGTCGTCAAAACTATAACATTATATTAACCTAGGTCGTATCTAGTCGTCAAAACTATAACATTATATTAACCTAGGTCGTATCTAGTCGTCAAAACTATAACATTATATTAACCTAGGTCGTATCTAGTCGTCAAAACTATAACATTATATTAACCTAGGTCGTATCTAGTAGTCAAAACTATAACATTATATTAACCTAGGTCGTATCTAGTCGTCAAAACTATAACATTATATTAACCTAGGTCGTATCTAGTAGTCAAAACTATAACATTATATTAACCTAGGTCGTATCTAGTAGTCAAAACTATAAGAATACAACAATATATGTCATGTCACATGTTCTCATAATTTATATATTTTTGATAAGTACCAACATTTTCTGTCTGAGAGTTTTTATAATTACAAATATAAAAAAAGTTAGAATTCTATTTTTTTTAGTTTCATTAAAATGTAGTTGATCAATCCCAATGGGCGCAAGAAGTCTAAAACACGTGTTAAAATGTCAAAAAATTTAATATATTGCTAAATAAAATAATAAACAAATAAGATTTTAAACTTAATTTATAATTAAACAAAAATTTCCACTGAAAATTAAACTCCATTAATACAAATACAAAATACAAAATAAAAACGAAATAAACATGAAAATCGTAAACCAAGTGATAAAATTTATAAATGTAACATTAAGTAATATAATATTGCTACATTTGTAATGTTACAGTAATATGGATAATATAGATAATAGTAGTACTGATGGAGATAAGTTATTTAATGGAGATAACAATTAGATTTAATGAAGATAACAATAAGATAGATTTAATCTATTATGATTTAATAGATAATTTACTTGTAAATCAATTCAATCAGTAAATCTTTAATTTGAATCAACAGATCTTAATTTCGCTTTCAAAAATATTATTTTAATTGTCCGTAATTGGGTCTTCCTTTGCAATAACGCCGGACAACTAAAAATATTATAACAAGAAGACCGGTAACAATCATTCCGCCAATAAATGAACCTGTATCAAACCGTCTGGAGCTTTTATTATTATTAGCAGTAGTAGGGGTGGTCACAGGCTTGGGAGGTATACTGCTAGAACTAACTTGAGGTTGAGCACTAGACAAATAAATGGAAGTTGATTGTATAAAAAAACTTCTATTGAATTGAGTAGTTACATCTGCAGTAACAGTCCTATTAAGCGAAGCAGTGAAGAGGATTGTCGTACTGTTTAAAGCGTACGAAGCTGAAATTAAATTGAACACTGATGAAGCATTGGAAAACATTCCTATAAAAAAAAAAATCATAAAAATTAAATGACCCTAAAAAATTTTGCGGGCATTTACTTAATGATAATTTCTTAAGAATAAAAAAGTTCTTTTGATTTAGGAATCTACCATAAAGTACTTCAATAAAGGTACGTAGGTATAGGGGGATGGAGTTATCAAAAAACGTACGAATAGGAGGTATTAAAGACTCAGTATCTTTTGTTCTCTCTTAAAATTCGATTTTTTTTTATAACTAAAGCATTAAATTTCATGAGTTTAAAAATCCATAATATTGATTTTTTCGTTTTGTAACAGAGACATGTTGAATTAGCTGAAAACCTTTGTTTTTAACTAAAAACTTTTGTTTTTAACTTTTTGAAAAATATTTACTTTGGGGAAGAGAGACTTTATAATAAATAATGCCTACGCATACAGAGGGAGAGAGAGAAGGGGGGGGGGTTGTTGAAAGCAAAGAGGTGCGTACAAGGTGAGAGTTGACTATTGATTTCGCATAAACATCTTTGTTTATGCAAAATTAAGAGTTGTCTAAGAGAAAAATTTCTGTTCAGTTGGGAATTCAAATAAAAACTATTTAAAATGTACAATGATAACAAAACAATTAAAAGAAAACCGGAGTGGTCGAAAAAAAAAATTTTTATTAAAAAATAGGTCTTGAAAAAAATATATATATATTTTGGGTCAATCTAGCAACTTGGCCTAAGTCATTTTTTAATATTTTGAGATTTTTTTTAAAGTAAACTTCAACACATATGTGATGCGATAACAGAAACTAATTTATGTTGCATTTTAACAAGCTTACTTTGAAAGAAATAGTTTTTTGTGATTATCTTAAAATTTAAGAAAAATGACTTTCGAACAATTATGCTTTAGTTGCATTATTCAAAAGATAAAATGTTATGCTACCAACAGAATGGAGTCAAATTTGTGGCCAAGAACATTAATCTACCAAATTAATGAACTGCAGCATAGATAATTTTGAGGGGAAAAAAAAGCAAAACAAAAAAAAAAGTTGCCATCAAAATTATTGATAAAAATATGCAACTGTTTATGGCAATATTGCAAAATTTAACGTTAATCAAGAACTTTAATTCTTTTTCAAAAGCTTTGAATGTTATTTATAAAAAAAAAAACGTAAGTAAAAAAAATGTCTAATATATATTTCAGGGACATGTTTTAACATCTTTTTAACATTCAGAAATAATAATTGATTTGTTAAATGGAAGATCGTATCAGCCACTTAGCAGTCAGAAATGTATATTGCACAAGTTGCAATATACATTTCTGACTTGCAAGTAGTTTACTTTTTTTATTTATTTTTTTCCTTTGTCTTTATTTGTCTTCTTTTTCTTCTTGGTCTTCTGGTTTAAATTCAACATTTTAAAAACTTATTGATTTCTAATATTTATGAGATCTAACACTTATTTATACTATGTCTCCCTATAATATACAATATACAATATATATATATATATATATATATATATATATATATATATATATATATATATATATATATATATATATATATATATATATATATATATATATATAACCCTCGGAATCAGGGTCAACATTCGGCAACGACGACCTAACTGCCGACCTGAAAGTGCTTGAGGTCGGCAAAAAATTTGTTTTTGCCGACCTCAAACACTTTAAGGTCAGGTCAGAAACCTCGTTTCTATGTTATATGGTCAGACCTTTGTATCAAATAATTTTTGCCGAACTGATGCCAACCTCATTGTATATATATGCGTATAAAAAACGGAGGCTTAAGTACACACATCGACTCTACTATCTTATAGCCTGCTGCCGCAAAGGAGTGCCGCTACAATGACCAAGGGTTTGGCATCAATCTTTTTTTTCTTTCCTGAAAAAGCTGTATGCTATAAAGCTAAGCAAAACTAGTAAGCATATACTTCACTAAACATGCAAGAATAGGTATATATATATATATATATATATATATATATATATATATATATATATATATATATATATATATATATATATATATATATATATATATATATATATATATATATATATATGGGCAATTCCATTTTTAACTTACGTTACACGCACAACAACTTTATCAAATATTTGCCTATTTAAAACGTAAATTCAACTTTTAGCTATTTTGTATAAAAGCTGTTAGTAAAGTTACTAAAGAACAAAATAAGCTGAAAATTTTTGAGACTGGCCAAAAGAAGGCAAACTATTTACTAAAAATGCCACTTAACTTACTTAACACGGAAAACAAGGTAACAAAATTACTTTAACTTTTAGGTCAGATTTCTGCGAATCAGTAAAGAGGTTTGTATTAGAAACTTTCACAACATTGAGAATTCTATACCAATTTAAAAGATATATAAAAGTTTATCAGAGGTAACCGGCTAAGGAAAATAAACTGGTTTTTTTGATACTACATATTTACATCATTTACGTTAAGGAGCGATTATTATAGTGGATTTTTTATATCTATTAAAAGTCAGAATTACGTAACTAAAGTATTGAACTCATTAATTAAAAATAATTAACAAAAGAAATTTTAAAAAACTCGTGGCACTCTTCCTGAGTGATTTTTCATAACATATATCAAAGTTATCAAATCGAAACAATTTTTCGGCAAGACCAAGAGCAACTTTTAAAAATTATTACAACTTTATTACTTATTTGAGTCATTTAAATAAGAAAATCTTCGACTTGTCGAAGTTTTTACTTACACTTCTTACGTTTATGCGTATTGCCTTATTTTCGCTAGGTTGAATTTTTAAAATGCTGCAAATTATTTACATTTAAATCTTTTACAATGTTGAAAGAACTGAGATTGTCCCAATAGACTTTAATGTATTTAATTTCATACCTATTAAATTTTTTAGTTCAAATTTTAAAAACTATATTAATGGAGCCAACTGCTCTATATAAGACTTCAAAGAAAAGGTAACAACAAGTGCACCAAACAATGTTTTTCAACAAAAAAAAACAGACAAAAAAAAAAAGAAGTTAGGATTTTACATGTTTGTACCTGAATGCTTTAGCAACTAAGTAAAACATAAAAATTTATTGTTTTATGCAATTCCCAACATAGAGAACATTGAAGAATAAAAAGATATTAATTTCTTTTAATAATTTTTACATACTTTTACATCCTTTCAAATATTTTTTTAATCATAAACTGAAAATAAAATGTATTTAAACAAAATCTTATTGAACCAGTTTTCATTTTCAAATTAAATTGATCGCACAAAAAAAGTCTTTTTTTTTGCATAGAAAAAAGTCTTTATTTTTGCATAGAAGTCAATTCTGCTCTTTTCTGTAAAAGATATCTTGACATTAGTAAAATTAACTGTTTTTTAGTTTTTGTTGTCTATTACTATTTCCATATAAAAAATTTTAATGATACAAGCTTTATGTACACAAAGATTTCTTCTTTGTGTACACACAAACAATCAGGGCTAGAACCAGCCACGGCATTTAGGATTTATAACAAGATCACATTTTTTACCATCACAGTTAACTTTTACTTTAAACTTTTTCATGAGCAATATCTTTATTTTCAATACTCCACTAACAAGCTTGTGATTATAAACTACTATCACAGTTTCTTATAAGCTTTTTTAACAATGAAGTTTTGAGGAGTATTATTTCTATGGTTTATAACTGTACCAAAACTTGATGCAGTAAGTTTTTGATTTTGTTCTTCAATCCATTTTTGTTTTTGTATTGATCTTTAGTTTCTGATGTAATTATTTTCTTAAAATTGATTAACATTATGGCAAGCTTTAATTTTCCTCAGTCAAATTAGTTTTAATTAAATGGTTCAAACAGTGAAGAAAGTTTTCCATTATAACTAGGCTTTAACTTTTCAACACTTTTCTATTTATTCGTTAGTAAATATTTCACAAATGATTTTGGTTAAAATAATTTCAATAATTAACACAATTGTCATTCCTTGGTTTAATTCTACATAATAAAATATTTGGTTTAACTCTTATTTATTTTACATAGCTCTCTTTAAATAACTAATAACCAGCTATTTTATGTTTAGCAGCTTCATTAAAAATATAGTCTGATACTATATAAGTAAATATATGTCGATATGTTATCGGAAACAGAAACATTGTCTTTTGACCATTAAATTACATCTTTAGAGATTATTTTGTTTTCGTCGCTGTTAAACTCCTTGTTTGTAATTACATAAAATGTTGCATTTAGTGGAAAGCTAAGAGCTTTTTAAAAAGCTAGATCTAGCAGAATAATTTATAGAGTTAATTATATATTCTTTTACATATGTATACTTGTAAAATATACTTCAAACGAGCTTCTCTAACAAAATTTAACTTCAACTGCGTTGAAATATTTGTTTATATTACAATGCAGTTATTCTCCAGCGAAGATAATAAGATTTATGAAAGATTTTGGCGTAAATGTAATTAATTATAAAAGAGAAAACTATTATCTATGTACGAGCAAGCCACGAAATAATGAAAAATTACAAAAACTATGAATGGGGAGTTTTTGATTTTTCTGTACATACAAATACCATAATGCATTGCTTTATGGGGAAAGGTCCATTATTGACGTAATTCATTTTGGTAACCAAAAAGCGCCATAACTTTAGTAAATGGATGTAACTTTCACAAATTGAAAACAAAAATGTACTTTAACTAAACATTGTTATTCAAAACCCTAAATGTAAACACATAAAATTTAATATTCTTTTGCATATACTAATACATTTAATATTCTTTTGAATATAAACTAAATTTTAGAACAAAACTTTATCATGTTTTTGTTAACTTACGTTACATGAAAATTGCAAAAGTTCACACACAGATATATATATATATATATATATATATATATATATATATATATATATATATATATATATATATATATATATATATATATATATATATATATATATATATATATATATATATATATATATCGTCAGCCGGAATACAAGTGTCGTATACGACACTGTGTTTAAATTGAGAAATTTGCATTCAAAGTTTAAAGTAAAAAATCTCTTTATGTAAATTTAATTTCAAGATGAAATTTAAAAAATTTGACTAAAATTAGCATAAGACTTTAAGTTGTTTAAAAAACTTATAACTTTAGAATAATTTTAGTTTCATTGTCCTTCGTATTTTTTTTCCTTAAATCCATTCCCGGTAACCAATTTGTCGGCATTATATTTAGAAATATACAGTCTTTAATCTGCAAGCTTCTTATATAGAAATTAATAAGCTTCTTTTACAAATATACTTATTAATAAATTGAGTATGATGTAAGGTTTCACTTACTAAATTTATAAATAACTAAATATTCATAACTTTTTCTTTTTCTACATTAAACAATTTTTATTAATATTGTTTATTTTCAAACAATTGAAAAATAAAAATAACAATTTATTACACATATCTTTTAATTTGTCTGTGAAAACTGATATAAATAAGTTAAACCTTAAATATAAAAAACAACCATTTCCATTATTGTACCTTTTTTTACAATAAAGAAATAAATATATACAATATTTATTAAAAAATTTTACAAAATGATATATTTAATTGTTGAGACTTTGTAACTTAAAAAGAGTATTATAAAGTTCAAGATCATCACGAACAAAATATTTTACCATTCACTCAAGATCATTAATTTTTGTATTTGAGAGCGAAAAACGTGTTGAATAATTTTTTAATGGAGGTAATTTTTTCAGAATTTTAACTTTCTGTTTATTCTTTCTCTACGAAGTACCTTTTACCAATCTTTCTTCAATAAACAGACCTGAGAACGATTTTTTAAATTTAATATGAAAAGGTAGATGTTTTTTATGACACATTAGTTTTACTTTTGCAAAAGACACTTTATGGAAATATAAAGACTTGGAAGCAAGTTTGAAGTCATCTTTGTACATTTGTATGACTTTCAATTCTAATGCAAAAGTTTTTTCAATAGATAACAGTAATTTTAAAAGGAGGACTGTGAATCTCATAATGCCATGATTTTTTCTTAATCACTCTATGTGCAGTGTCAATATTTTGTACTGAACTATGACCAGGTTCACTATACTTCTGTTCACTATACTTCTGTTAGGTTCACTATACTTCTGTTCAATGAGTGGTATTCCGCTTCCATTTAGAAAATTTTTTATTGCCATAGACACAATTGAATTCTTATTCTGAGGAGCACAAGAATCAGACCACAAAATTATTTGATTAACTGATAAATTAAAACAGTCTTGAACAATTAACTTTAATAGTTTATACAGACAACTTGCAAGTTCATTTACACTTCTACCAGCCATAGATTCATTCCAAAGTGCACGATAAGTTTTTATATTTGATGAACAACGGGCTGTGAAATTATAGTAATTCAAATTTCTTTTATAATAGAATGCAGAAATATTTGCAATTGGAAGGGGAAATAATTTTTCTAAATCAAAAGTTAAAACTGCTATGATTTAGTAATCTCCATTTGCAACTTTAGCTAGGTCACTTTTTTTCTTGTCTAGTTAATAACTTACTCTCTCTATGCTGCAGTATTTTTTGATCATCTTCTTTGTTTTTATGCTCTTGATATAAATCTTGATATATATATATATATATATATATATATATATATATATATATATATATATATATATATATATATATATATATATATATCAAACTGAAAGCAACACCTTTTTTGAGTGTAGGTTGATTTATAGAGCTGGTTTCTGTGATTGTTCTGTCCCTAGTTAAAGGTTGAATTAAACTGTTAAAGTTTAATTAAACCTTTAAAAAATCCTGAAACTGTGTTGAACACTGTACTTAGCTTTCCGGCTGCACTAATCATTGGTACAAAACAAAAATGATAATTGCCACAAGAATTCAGAATACTATTAATTTTAGTTCATTGATATTGCCAATATTTTGTCTCGCTATGGCAGGGTAACAATTTTATTTCTAAAGCAACCAGCAAAACTAAGAAACCCAAAATTCCAGAGGAAAAAGACCACTTTTGCAGTAGATTAAAAAGAACACCAAAATATTTGAAATTTTTTTTTAGCTCTACAGTTAATTTTGGCATGTTTTTATGTTACAGTGTGACAAAACGAGGTGATAATTTTTGAGAAAAATCTAAAATTGCCAAACTGAAACCATAAGTAAAAATTTATCAACTTTGATTACCCAGATTACTGTGTGATTATTGAATTTTATCCGAAAATTTTCAAGACTCGTAGTTATGTTTTACATAGACAACTTTTGAAGGATGAATGCTCAGCTATCCTTGATACTCTTTGTTAGGGTGCTTAGAGCCTCTCTAAGTAATATGTGTAATACTATTGTGTTGCCTTTGTTTATCTTTTGAGGTTTAATATGTCTTATATTAATGCTGAATGTCATAAGAAGTATTTTGAAAAGCAGTTGGAAAAACATGGAGCAAAAGCAGTTAAAGAAAAAGAACCAAAAAGGAGAGAAAAAAAAAACTTTATAATTTAAATTAAATTACTTAAGGTAAATAAGAGGCAAAAGAAGAAAAAAAATAGACAAAAAAACAACAAAAAAAACATAGAGTTGTTTCATCACTGCCAAATTTCCAAGCAATCTTGGTAAAGCTATTAAGAGAGTGCTGACTCAGCGCTACTGAAATCAGAGTAGAAAATAGAGAATACAATACAAAAAGACTGACAACTGCACAATAAATTTTAATAAAAACTTATGAAATATTTAGTCCAGAAAAAAGGTAAGATTGGATCAATCTTTACAATTGGTGAGATAAAAAGAAGGATTATAAGAAACTTTTAAAAATCATTATTTTTGCATATATAATATTATAGCTTATGCTTTTTTTAACAAAGATTATCTTAAAGAATCACTTGGAAAATCAAAGTTTGTAAGCTTACATTCACAACATGTACTTTTGTCTAGTTTAATTACCAAGAAAAATCCATAGTCTTAATGCACTCCACAAATTTCAATTTTTAAATTGCAATCACAATTTTTTTTTAATTGTATATGGTAGTGCAAATGAAATTTGTTATACCAACATACGTACAACATGCAAAGATATTGCAAAGTTTCATTTCTCTTTCAAGTGAAAAATATGATTAGTTTTGTCGTAATTTAGTTTTTGGTTTAAATTGATGTTTTATTTATTTGATCATTCATTTCTGATAAGTCTTTATAGACAAAACTCAGTGTAAAATAATAAAATAAATTTTACAAGTGATTTTCTCCTAATTTATCATTGCTCTGTTCCTTTAAGAACATTGAGCACTCTATTTTGTAGAATACATTTAATATATATATATATATATATATATATATATATATATATATATATATATATATATATATATATATATATATATATATATATATATATATATATATATATAAACTTATACTTACGAGAAGATATAGCTATACTTTGAACATTTGTAGTTTGACTAGCATCGTTGAGTTGAACTAAAAAATATAAATAAATTATAATATAAATTACTTTTGTGAAGTTCAACTTCTTTAAAACCTTTTTTTTGTTGTTTAAATTTACTTCTCTTAAATTTCTACCTTTTACAAACAGCACAATTATGAACTTTTGCTAAATATGGGAGCAAACAGAACAAACAGTAAACAAAAGTAAGATAAGCAAAAAATATAAATATGGGACCAAACAGAGCAAACAGTAAACAAAAGTAAGATAAGCAAAAAAAACCTACAGTGTTTTGATGAAGATGAAATGAAAATCAATTCTTAATTGATATTATTGAATTAAAACTATATTTAACTCAATTACAATTAATAAAATTAGACAATGACACTTTTAAAGAAAAGAAAAAAAATCAGATGGAAATTTTTTTTTTGAACTTTGTAGCAAACAGATGCATCTTATTATAATTATCCTTAACAGGGGGGTCAAATACGTAATATTTGGTAAAAATAGGCTAAATTTCTTAAATATTTGTATTTGACTGGATAATTCAATAAACAAGGTTAAGCAGTGTTTTTTTCGGGAAAAACAAAGATGTTTTTTTTTCCCTTTAATTTTAGAATTTGTTATGAGGGATATTGGTTTAAACACTTTTTTATTATTCTATTTAGTATACCATTTTATCAGTATTGTCATGAAAAATCTTAGTATTTTTTCTAAAGAAGGCATCCATCAAGTACATATACAGTAGAACCACTGATTTAGGACATCCTTGCTAACATGCACCTGTATGCTTTTAACAACCCTCCTCACCCCCCTTCCTTCTCTGCATACAAAATTTATTTAACTTTTCACTGTTACATGAAACAATATTGTTTTTTTAGACTCATGAAATTCTTAAAAAAAAAAGAAAAGAATTTCATGAGTTTTAACACTATATAATGCATTTTTTATTTTATTAAAAAAATGAACAATTCTAATGCAAATTATTAAACTTTAGACCCTTGTTTAAAATTTAAACGCCAGATCTACTGACTTCAAAATCAAGCAATGATGATGAATCAAAGAGAAACCACTGCAAAGTTGATATTATTTTAAAATAAAATGAGTTATCTGTTTTTATCTGTTTGTTGCCGTTTGGTAACATGTAATATAGGCTTAGCATTTTTTTAACATTCAGAAATAATAATAAATGAAAAGATTAATGGAGAATAATTAAAGAAAAGATTGCTGTCCCATTTGGCATTATTATTTGTTTTTTTTCTTCTTCTTTTTCTGAAAAAGCTGCGTGCTATAAAGATAAGCAAAACTAGTAAGCATATGCTTAACTAAATATGCTATAGTAGGTGTGTATATATATATATATAAGTGTATATATATTAAGTGAAATTGGCAAAAATAAGCGCATTACTAAGTACCAATGGGAGATTTTGGCACCTAGATTTGTGTTTATAAGATGAGATGATTTAGATCATTCAAAAGAAATCTTCTATTGTATTTGACAATTTTTTTTTTAATTTTTATACCTACCTAATTTCCTTTGCTTGTTTTTTAGAGTACTTAATATAAGCTGACTAAATACATAAAACCACTTTTTTATATCTATTTAGTATCAAAATATTAGGAATGTATCAATACCTACTTTTGGCCAATGCCAATTGACCTAAATTCGAAATTATACTTACTAATTAGTAAATCAGGATTTTTAACGATCAATTTTAATGCTAGCTTAATTGCTAAAGTTTGCTTAGTTTTAAGGCTTACTTATTTGATAAAATTTGCTTAGTTTTAAGGCTTACTTATTTGCTAAATTTCCTTAACGCTTAGTTGCTTTGCTTATTGTTGATTTATTAGGAATTACATTTAAAAATAAAATTAAATAAGAATTAAATAAACAATGAGCAAAGTAACTAAAAGTCTATTATTCATAGTGTTTTATAAAAAACACTATTAATAATAGACTTTTTTTTTTTTTGATTTTTGTATTTATTAATTTGCTTGACAACTCCTATTATTTATTCATCACTATGTCTATGTCAAAAACAGTAGTTCTGTATAGTACTGTTTTCAAAAAACTTAATGATTCATTACCAATATATTTAGAACATTTTAATTGGCTCCACAAATATATATTTAGAAGATTTTAATTGGCTCCACAAATATATTTAAAACATTTTAATTGGCTCCAAAAAAAAAACTTAAATACTACTACTTTAAAATGTAATTAAATGAAAAATCATTCAAAATTTTTTTTATCAAAGTTAATAAAATTATTTGAGTGTTAAATTTAACAATAAAATCTTAGGAATTACATAAAATTGATTTACTGATGAAATTACTTAATAAGAAATGGAGTGAAAAAGGACAATCAAACTTTATATTTATATTTTCATTGTTATAATGGAAACATTTTTTATGCACATATGTTTATTATATAAAATCTTATCAACCTTTTCGTTAGTAAAAGTGTATAATAATGTTACATATGTTTGTATATAATCTCTATAAAACTTCAAAAGTATTTTGTATTTTAATTAATCGAAAAAAATGAAATAAAAGTCATCAACAATAAGACTTGAACCACTTTTTTTGTTCAGAAGCTCTGTGCACTTTATCCACTCAGCCATGCCGACACGTTGATATATGAATTTATTTTGAATATTTTAAATTTATTTTTAATATTTTTAAGAGAAAAAAATGCTATAGAATAAAATTAAACAGATGTTGCCGCAATGCAGTTTTCAAGTGAAAGTCAAACTGTAAAACTTGATACATATTTAAATGTTTTAACATTACATAATTTCAAGTTTACATTAGTAAGATATTTGCATACACTTTTGATCACATTTTCTTTTAACAAAAGTACAGCGACTCATTCTCGCCACTACTTTATTCATTCTTGCCACTACTGGTTGCAATAGCCACCAAGGGTTTCGTGTCAAACACGCTTGAAGGAGCACTACTACTACTACTACTACTACTACTACTACTACTACTACTACTACTACTACTACTACTACTACTACTACTACTACTACTACTACTACTACTACTACTACTACTACTACTACTACTACTACTACTACTACTACTACTACTACTACTACTACTACTACTACTATTACTAACACTATTAAGTTCAGCAATAATATATAGAGATAACATGATAAACTTTTTAATTGATTTTATTGTATTTTTGTAATTATACTATTATTAGTTTGTACAAGAATAATTATATTTTGTAATTTTTTTTTTTTTTTAAACACTTTTATAGGTATTTTAACAAATTTTAAATATTTAATTTTAACTGAATATTACAAGTGTTAGTCAAAACATGTATTGTTTTTTAATCAATAAAATGGTTTTAAAAATTAAAAAATTTGATTTGTTTATGAAAATATTTATATTTTTGGTGCTTAAAAGAAATTTTGATATATATATATATATATATATATATATATATATATATATATATATATATATATATATATACACATCAACTTATACTTACGAGAAGATATAGCTATACTTTGAACATTTGGAGTTTGACTAGCATCGTTGAGTTGAACTAAAAAATATAAACAAATTATAATATAAACCAATTTATTATCAGTTTTAAGTACAGTTAGAAAGTTGTAAGACTGACAGTTGTAAGACAGAGATATTGTCAGAACCACAAGCTTAGAAGATTAAGTGATGAAATAAATTTAGCAACTGAATCTGGAGTGATTTGGATGTATATTTGTAACTTAATATAACCTAGCCAGAAAAAGTGTGAAGAACTGAAATGTTTTTAAGTACAATATTTTAAAAGATTTTACGAACATTTAAAAAGTGCTAGTAGAGATTTTAAAAATATAAACTTATCAGGAATATGAAATCTCATCATACCTCATACAATTAAATTGTTTTATATAAAAATTTTCCTTCTCGTAACTAAATTGCTTTCACCATATCTAAAGAGCCTTAATTGACACAATATAGAATCAATATGATCATGACCAGGACATCAGAATTTTATATAAGTTTTTCTTTTCTTTGGTAAAGTTCACTATGACTAAAGAATGTCGTCTGCTTTAAATAAATGATCCGAGCAAGTCATTAAATGATCACTGGAATCTGTTATTAAACCATTTTAAAACATACACTGTATTCAAGTTGACATTTTAATGGTTTTTATAGCCTTTTTTTAGCAATTAAAAAAAAAAGAAAGCTGATTAAGTTAATATTTCATAAATAAATACAAAATAATTTACATTTTCAACATACAGGCTTTCACAGGAAGTCGTGCCATTTCACGTCTTCATATGACCACGCAAGTTACATTTTGCGGTTTGATCGCGGCTAATTTGAAAAACATTTTAGAAACGCGCTAAATAAAAAATATTCTAAAAAAGTGAAATTAATTAAAATAAAACTTCTTAACAAATGTTTTTATATTAACGAAACGATTTTAAATAAATAGATAAACAAAACTTCGTTAAAAAAAAAAGTTTTAGAAAACTGTTACAATTTAATAAGTTTGATCTTAAATACTTTTATATTATCGAAACGCTTTTAATGAAGTAAAAAAAAAAAACACTTCTAATTAATTTAAAAAAAAGTATTTATAAAATATTTTTTATTTTATTTTTTAACTATGTATTTTTTATGACTTTTGAACATATTAAACAAATAAAAAATATATAAAAATGTTGAAACAAAGATTGAAAAGGTTTTTTAATGCGTAAATTAAATAGACTAAGCATTTTAGTTTGATCAGTTTTGCTTTAGTTGGATTATATATAAAAATATATTAAAAAAGAAATATATTTATTTTTTTGTTTTTTTGCTTTAAAATTTTTTTTTATTTTCTCTTTCGTTAATATTTATTATTTAAAAAAAATTTTTTTTTAGATAAGTTTAGGTAAGTTTTTGTAGCGCGTTTTTAAATTTTAAAAATATGTCGTGGTCAAATCGTTAAAACTTTTTTTTTTTTGCGTGGTCATATAAAGACATGAAATCGCACGTCTTCCTGTGAAAGCCTGATATATATTTTAGATGCAATATTTATACATTAATAAAATAATCATTTAAACGAAACACCATAAATAGATAACTTTTTATTTCTTATATCATTCCCAATGCTATAAGGTACTGCTTGCATGAAGTAGCTGCTTTTAATTATTCCAGGACAGATTAGGTTTAGGATCATCACGATTACCCTGCTATTGGTATTATATAACACAGTGCTACCTGCCCTATGCCCTGCTGCCTTGTAGAGTGTCCTTTTTTAGACAAAGGCTAGGAGAAACAAATTCCAACTTGAGAATTCCCTGCTTTACGGCTCTTGGTTGAGTAAAGGCTAGAGATAGTATCTCGATAAAAATACTCATCTTGGGCAGATGTTAACTGCATCTAGCTAAATTTTTCTGTCTTAGGGCTTTTGGTTGAGTGAAGGCTAGAGATGGTGTCTCAATAAAAACACTCATCTTGGGTAGATCTTAACTGCATCCAGCTACTGTCTTGTAGGAGGTTTCCTAGGCAAAAAATTAAGGGGTAAGCAGAATAGTTCTGCTAACAAGCCTCAAACCTCTTCTTTATCTATTAGGCTGGCGTAGATGTAAACCTGTGTTACATTGTTTCCTGCCTAGGATGATGAATGCTTCTTGACTTTTCTCATAGGTTTTTGCTTGTACCTCCTTGATAGTGGCTATGCAACTCTGCCTGTCATCTACTAATGAGAGTACAGCTCTAAAACTCAGTTTAATGGTTTTTAGGCTAGCTGGTAGTAAGGTTTCCTGAACTCTGTGGTAGCTCTCAGAGAGGCTGATTGTATCAATAGCTGCAAAATAGAGTAAATAGCAGAGTATTAACAGGGCCATGTTGGGCATGGACAGTGTCCCTGTTAACGCATTGGGTGAGCATTGTTGAAGAGCCCTATGTTACGACTTAGGGTTAATTAACAGGACTGAGACAATTGTATAGTGGATTGCTTAGGAGGCAGTGCTCTATTTATGAATGAGTTAAGTGGTCTTTAAACTTAAATCATGCCAAAAATAACCCAAAATATCAAACATAAAGAACTATGTTCTTTATCGTTCTCCTTCTTCCCAAGACTGCACTCATTTAGATTCAAATTGACCGTCTCATTTTACCCCTCTGCCAATTGTTGTTATTGGTGACTTTAATGCTCATCACACTGAATGGCTTGGCTCTAATGCTACTGACCCTGCTGACACTAAAGCCTATAACTTCTGCATTTCTCAATCTCTTACTCAGATAGTTAACTTTGTAATTTGTTTTCCTTAAAATCCTAATCATTTACCTTCACTCCTTAATTTATGTCTGGTTTTTGATCCTAGCTTGTGTTCAGTTTCTCCTTTTTCTTCTTTAGGTGGTTCAGACCATGCAATGATCTCTTTAATTCTTTCATCTTATACTTTCTTTTCAGACTCACCATTTTCAAACTTCACTGGTCATGCCTCATTCTACTCCATGGTTTTCACTCTCTTGTGCAGCTACTATATCTAATCATAATCATTTTTTTTTTTCATATTTTTCAAAAAAACAAATATCTTAAGAACAAAAAGCTGTTTATTATTGCAAGAAATTGATGTAAAAAGGTGCAGTCAGATGCTAAGCTCCATTATTCTCAGTTCACTAAATCTCATATCTTAACTAAATCTCAGAAAGTAAGGCTCTAGAGACTTTTGGAAAATGTTCAACAGCGTTGTTAATAAAGGTCTAGCATTCCATCTCTTATTCTATGGACTGATCTTATTACCTCTCACAAGGCTTTTCTTCTAATTTGACTCTCGAATATTATGGCCATTCTTTCCTTCCATTCTAATTAAACAGGTTAACCCAATGTTAGACATTCAAATCACTTCAGCTTCCATTGCTAAAGTCATACCTCGATTAAACTCTTTTATGGCTTGTGGTCCAGTCAACACTCCTGTCATAGTCTTACAAAATTGTTCTCCAGAACTCTCTTCAATTCTCTTCAAACTATTTAATAAGTGCTTGACTGAGTCTTGTGTTCCTGCCTGCTGGAAAATGGCATTTGTTGTTCCAATTTTCAAAAACTCTGGTGAACATTCTGATTCCTTTAATTATCATCCAATCAGTCTTCTTTCTGTTATTAGCAAGGTCTTTAAGTCTTTGATAAAAAAATTTCTCACATCCCATCTCGAGTCAAATAATTTACTGTCAGACAACCAATACAGTTTTCAATCCTCTAACTCTACGGCTGACATGCTAACTGTTGTAAGTGAAAGATTTTATTGTGCATCAGATATAGGCAGAGAGGCTAGGGCTATTGCTCATAACATATCTTGGCTTACTACAAAGTTTGGCATGCTGGTCTTCTCCATAAGCTTGCTTCACATAATGTATCTGGGAAAGCTTTTGAGATAATCAAATCGTTTTGTTCTAACCGCTTTATTAAAGTTGCCCTCAAAACCCAACACTCTTCTTTATTTCCAGTTACTTCTGAGGTACCTCAAGGTTCTATCCTTGGTCCTGTTTTGTTTCTTATCTATATTAATGATCTTCGCGACAACCTTACATCTAAAGTAGCTCTCTTTGCTGATGACTCAACTTTATACTCCTATTTCAACAAAAAAAATCTTCTCTTTTTAATTGTTTAGAACAGGCAGCTGATCTTGAATCTGATCTCACTTCTGTAACAGATTAAGGCTCACAGTTAGTAAGTGACTATGGTTGATATTTGACCAGCTACCTCTCTACATGCTGATACCTAAATTACTTTAATATTTTTTAACAAACCTTGTTCGATGCAACGTTTTTTCTAATCTGTCTAAGAATATGCCTTCTTTTCTTGTCTTGTTAGAGTCACACCACATATTCATCTGATCCTCTTCTCTTTCGGCAAATACTACACCATATAAATGCTAAAGTTTATATAACAATGAAAGGATATTGTAAGCCAGCATCTAAATAAATAGCAAACATATATGTTTACATCTATAATATGTATGCATCTTAAAAGTGCATCTTGTAAGCTTTTATTCCTTCTGGAATAAAAGTTTGGAAGCTTTTATTACTTCTTTTCAATTTTATGTTAAGCCTCATTCTACTCCACATTTTTCACCATCTTGAGCAGTTGCTTTATTAAACATTAATCGTTTTTTAAATCTTTTTTACATCTTTCTTAAGAAGAAATGTTCTTTTATTATTACAAGAGGCCAATGTAAAAAAGATGTTCAGCTCTGTTATTCTCAGTTTACTAAATCTTGTATCTTATCTAAGATGTTAGGTTCTAGAGACTTTTGGTTAGTCTTTTGGTTAGTCAGAATAAAGCAAATTTATTTGCAAAGAAATCTTACTCAAATTTGAATCTTGAATATAATGGTCATACTTTTCCTGACATTAACTGTCAGGAAAACAGATTAACTATGGCTTTCAATGCTAAAGTTAATTCTCAATTAAACACTTCTACAGTTTGTGCTCCAGAATAGATTTTCATTATAGTCTTAAAAGATTGTTCTCCAGAACTCTCTTCACTTTTTGCTAAACGTTTAAAAAGTGCTAAATAAGTGGTTCCAATTTTTCAAAACTCTAGAAAAAACTTTAACCTCTCCAACTATCCTACGATTAGTCTTCCCTCTGTTATTATTTTCTTTATATATAAAGGTTTTAAGGTTATTAAATTATTTCTTTCTAACTACAGTAGTAAAGTTATTCTTAAAGGCCTACCCTCTTCTTTATTTCAAGTAACTTTAGGAGACCACATGGTTCTATCTTTGCTCCTGTATTGTTTCTTATCTACAATAATGATCTTCATTTAATCTAAAGTAGCTCTATTTGCTGACGACTTAATTTTATACTCTTGTCTTGTGACTAAAAATCTTAACTATTTAATTGATTTAACAGATTTAAAATCGGCTGCTTGTTCTAAGACAAGCAGCCGATTTTAAATCAGATCTCTCTTCTGTAACAGCCTAAAGCTTGCAGTTGCTTTTGGATTTAAATTCTGGACTTAAAATTTACAATTTTTGTTAGACAACGAAACTCATTTATTTACTGCAAAAAAATATTGCAGTAAATAAAAATATTACTCTCAGACAAAGTCTAAAAGCACATTGTAAATGTAATTAGAGCTGCTTTATCTAGACTGCTTATCTGCCAAGCTTGAGCCAATCTCCCATTGTTGTAAGGTTGCATTTCTTTCTTTTTTCTACAAATACAATCATGGTCAATGCTCAAATGAGCTATTATTTTTATTACAATAAACCAAAACTCATTCTTGCATGGCTTTTTATTCAACAAGTTGCATCCTTTTACTGCATCTGTGCCATTATACTAAAAAACTTTTATTACTCCAGTTTTTTTCCTTGAACATTAAAAAAACCTATTAACTCTTACCCATCTTCATGTTTTCTTTTTACAACTTTCTATGTTCTAAGCATTCAGTTATACATTTTCTAGTATTTTAACTTATTCTTCATTTTAAATTAACTCTTAACATAATAGTGAGAGCTTCCAATCTTGTTGGAAATAAATTAGAGTTTAAAAATATATAAATGTACGCTAGCATTTAATAAATAGTAAATGTAAGCATAAAATTACAATATATTAAAATATTATAATTTCTAGCCCCGATTATCAACCCCTGCTAAATCTTATAATTTTGAAGGAGCAGGGGGTGGGTTTGCAAAAAGTCTCATTTTTTGTTAAAATACTTTTTAAATATTTATCATGTGAAAGAAAAAATATTTGTTTGAATAAACTGCTCCAGGTAAAGTTAAAACAAAAAAAATTATTTATTTTGATATATTTCAAAACTAATGAAATTTTTTTTTCGCTTTTTCTGTATTAATATTAGCTAATATTGAAAAAGTGAAGAAAAAAAATATTTATACAAAAACATAAAAATTTTCCAAAAGGTAGTATAACAAAAAAATGCTGTTTATCAGCAATTGAATTTTATTTTAATAAACCTATTTGTTAAGAAATAATATAACTAAGGGGAGTTTTTCAAATCAACTTTTTACCTAAATTTTAAAACCTATAAGTTTATTAAAAGTAACTTTTTAAAAGTGATAAAAGCATATAATTATGAGTATATTATAGGATTAAAACATATTTATCTGGTTTTTAATAATGGTTGATTCTCTTTACCTCACATGGTAAGAGAGGTTTTACATTACTTATTTAAAAAGGTGCAAAAACTTAAAAGTCTAATATGCTATTGCTTGTGGCAACAAATTTGTTAGTCTAAAAATTACAAGACCTTTATATAAATAAAGAAAAAGGGTTCTCGGTCCTATAAGTAATTTAACGTATTTTATTGCAACTACATAAAACATTTATTTCTATGTATTCATCGAATATAGTTTTGTATTCGCTGAAAAACAGAGCAGTGACAAATAAGTGAAAATACTTACTATTTAAAGAAGTACTTGCATTTAAGCCATTAGAATGAAAAACCAAGGCTTAAAATAAAAAATCACATGTAGAAATTAAAAAAAAAAAAAAACGTTATAGTGACGTTTAAGCCTTTACAGAATTATTCAAATACATATACAAAAATATTTAAATTAGGCATATAAATTCCTACCGCCTACTAGTAAAATACTAAAGAAAGTAGAAATCATTTCAAACTAAATGTGCTTATAAATTAATTTAAAATTCGTTCAAACGTTACACACTATGTACATTGTAGTTAGGATAATCTATATTTTCCTCATAGAATATTAATGAATATAAAACGCGTTAAAACGCGGAAACGTTTAACACCGATTCTCGTAGAAAACAACTGGTTTTCATTACAAACTTATAACGGCTGAACAAAAAAATAAGTTATAATGTAATCACAAATATTATCAGCATAATAAATAATAAAGTATGCAACTCTTAGTCAGCAACTATGAAAATTACTTTTAAATAAAGCATTTTTAATAATTTACACGCTCTTAATAACAAAGTTTTAAATTTTCATTATTTATAGTTTTGGAGTTTAGTGCGGAACACAAACTTTTTTAATCTAAATTAAAAAGTTGAATATAAAATATAGTTAAAGGAAATCATAATACAGCGTCGTTTTAATTTTTTTTTATTTCGTAACGATCTGTTATCACATGGAGTAAAATGGGGTAGGAGTAAACGAAAAAAAAGGCGAACGGTTTACTAGTTTTGTTTCTTTTGCATTTATTGGAAGCTAAAACAAAAAATCTTTTAAAATGCCATGCACCTTATTGTAGAGAACTTTATCCTCTAAACTTAAAAATTCTCAACCTAGTAAAAAAAAAAAAATTCAAAAAAATCAACTTTAAAACTAAAATTAAATTTTACTAAACAAAAAAGGTTAGTTTTTTCAGAAAAGTGGCGGGGAGTCTCCCCCCCCCCCCCGCCACACTTTATCTCTATATCTTTTTTTTTTTAATGCTAGATATATAAGGCTTTTTTTAAGAATTGAAAACTGCTTCCCCTCACTTCAAAACCCGTTTCGTTGGCCCTGTCAAGATTCTGTTTTCAAAATTGAAAAAAAAAGAAAAAAAAAGTTATAAGCGAAAAAAAAAGTTATGAGCGAAAAACCGAAGTAAATGCTTTTCAGGAGAAGAGTAAACATCCTAATGGACCCACGGTCGTTCAGATATTAGTAAAAAGCGCTGTTTAGGTACGCATGCGTAAGAAAATACAAAAAACTTTTGAACTTTTAAAATGGCTACGGTTCTTAACTACAGAGAATATTTTTTATGGCAACAGTTTATTTGTTAATTAATTTCTGAAAAGCCAATGATATAGCCTTATTTTTAACGTAAATCAATAAAATAATACAAAAATTTCACAAAAATTTAAATAAATAGAGGTAACAAAAATTTTTGCGCACTAAAACTGTATTTTTACTTAATACGTTTTTAGTGTAAATCATAGATTTGTTTATTTATTTGAAATCAATTTTCTAAAAATCTGACTGTAGGATTTCAATAATTTTTTTTTTAAACTTTAGATAAATATGTTCTATATGTATGATATTTTTCTGGTCATTGCTTCAACTTTTTTTCCATATAAAAATTTGTTTTTACTGTTATGAGTATTTCCTTATATATCTGACTTATACATATGACTATTTCCTTAAATACTGTTATGACTGTTTCCTTATATAAGAGCAATTTCATTAATTATTTTGTTATTTACTATTTTTCTGACTATATATATATATATATATATATATATAGTCAGAAAAATCGTTTATTAAAATAATTATAAATATATATGTATATATATATATATATATATATATATATATATATATATATATATATATATATATATATATATATATATATATATATATATATATATATATATATATATATATATATATATATATACATATATATTTATAATTATTAGGGACATAACAAGTTCCTAATAATTATAAAAAAAAAAATTATATAAGTGTATTATGTATAAATTATATCATAATGGGTCTCAAGTGAAGCAAAATTATATAAAAATTTCAAAAAAAATATTACCAAAAATTGGTAATAATGGACATTTTTTATTTTATTTAATAAAATTCATTTTTTATGGTATTAAATCTAACATATTTTTTAACCTATTTTTTAAGTATAAATATGCAAATATATGCATTTAAACAGTTTATATATGCACTAATACAGTTAAAAAAAAATACTTGCATCATAACAAGCAGGTCTTTAATCACTTATTTTTTTATATTACTTGCAAAGAATTTTACTGCGAAAAAATATTCGCATTTCAGGTAAAAAAAACTGTTTTTTAAAATTTTTTGAGTAAAAAATATTTTGATGACTCCCTCATAACTTGTTATGTTTTATTTATTTAGGAACTTATTATGTTTTATTTGAGTGTATCATGTTGAGTCTTAAATGAAGCAAAGTTATATGAAAATTTCAATGTCAGATTTAACACCATAAAAAATGAATTTTATTAACTAAAAAAGAAAAATGTCCATTTTTACCAATTTTTGGCAATATTTTATTTGAAATTTTCATGATTTCGCTTAATTTGAGCCGAAATGTCAAGATACACTTTTGAAGATTTTTTTAATTGATAATAATAGGAACTCTTTATATGTTTAAGGGACTCCAAAAATGATTTTTCTTCAAAAAACATTTTAAACCAGTGTTTTTTTATCATATAAAACACATTAGGAGGTGGCAGCTATATATATATTTTTTAAATACAGCTGCCAAAAATTTAAAAAAATATCTTAATAATAAATAAGCTGATAGTAATACAGTGCAATAATGGTTCCAATCATATGTTGAATTAAATATTTAAAAAGCCACATATTTTTTTGTAATATATATATATATTTTATATATATATTACAAAGTAAAAAACGAAATGTCTTTGTTTTGCTTTTTATTTCTTCTGCACTATATCTTACGTTTCTGAGGAAAGCGTGCTACCACTGCGCCACGGCTGTTCATTCTATACCGTAAATGTAAAATAACGTAAATTCAAAAACGTAACACCTTATAACATAATACGTTTTTCTAAAGACTTTATAAAATAAAAATCATAGATTCTAATGTCTTACTTTAACTTTTTGTTTTTATATTGGTTGAGAAAAATTTAAATAAAAAAAAAATTAGTATAATAAAACTATATTGCTCAAAGGTATGCAGGCAAGTACACATAAGCCTAAAGCCTTCCTTTTACACCAGCATATACCTCAAAATATCTGGATACTTCTTATAAACCATAAACTTTTATAAAAGAAGAAGTAAAAAAAAAATAACAAGTGGCACAATCCTTTCTAAGATTGTCAAGCAGATAATGACAAACCTCTAATTGTTGGTTATCAGCAGCAACTATTAAAACTTCAGAAAAAGCTGAGCACTGCGTCGTTCATCAATAGTTTTTGCTTCAAATTGTTCTTAAACTCATTAAGCGTAGGATTTTTTGTAAGTTCTTTAGCTAATATTTTATTCCATAATTTTGGCCCTCTAGTAGAAATAAAAATTTAGTCGCCGAAATATAACTTTTGGGTTGAATGTAACTGTTATTTGAAAATCTGGTTAGATATCTGTTCTGATTTGTTTTGAATAGTGGGTAAAATACTTTAGGAGATATATTTTTATTAATTTTTAACATAAATATAAGAAGATGATAGACATTTATTTGATATTTTGATATATTGATATTTAGATAATAGACATTATTATACATTCATTATATTTGAATTAACAAATAATGCTTGGGAGTGTGTAAAACGGCTCACAATATAAATGATTCTAATTTTATGGCCTTGTTTATTAAATAGTTTTTTTATTTTATTTTTATTTGTACTTTACTTTGGTTACATTTAGAGATAATTTGTTTGCATTAAACTATTCAGTAAGATTTTATAGCACTTTGTATTAATATGTTTAATACCATATTCTTTGCCGATGTTATAAAAATTGCTCAGAGGTGGCGTTGAACCACGGGTCTCACTAACCACTGCGCTACGGCTTTAAAATTTTACTTTTAATTGCTTTCTATGTATATACGAAAGTGTAGCGCTATGATTGATACTTAATCTGTAATTAAGGCGCGCTTGTCTGGAATGCGGGTTTGATAGATAGACTTAAATACTTGTCTAGCGGTATGGCATACAAAACGAACATTTTTCGTTCTTAATAATTTTTAAACCAATCATAACTGGTAACCATCTAAGGAAATGACTCATCCTTCTGTTCCTATATATTTCCTTTTCCCTAACCTATAAATCTGAGTGAAAGACGATCAACCTCGGAATAGGACTTTGACAATAAAGCCTACCCATACTTAAGTGGTTTAAGACCAGTCCAAATTTTTATAATAGTTCAAGTTACCTTCTATATATTTCATTTCAAACAAACTGTATTTCAAAAATTGAAGGCTAGAATGAATAATATCTTGCAAAAGTTGTCCAAAATTTAAAAAATGTTTGTGACGACAATATGAGGTTTAACGTAAGTTGTCTTTTAACTAAAAAGAGAATACTTAAATTAGTAGGGAATAAAATCATTAGCCACAACTTTTCCAGTAATCTAAAACTTTTTTTTTTTTTTTGTGTTTCATTTATTTTCCTGTTTAACAAAAATAATCAACATACATATATACAAGAAAGAAAAAATATGTCCGTAAAAACGACGAAGACAGAAAAGTCTCAACAATGATCTTTATAAAATAAAGAATTAAACAAACAGGGCTCAAAGAAGATGAAGATGACAATACGTCATTGCAATCTTTTCATTGACCCCCTATATACACTTTCAAAAGAATAAAGATATTATATTAATAATCCTAATGGGCATAAAACTGCTGCACTGATCAGTAAATCAAATAAAGATAAAAAACTGAAAAAATAGAATCAAATAACTTCAAAGTTACTCAAGCTTTAAAAATTTCTTTTTTGATTTGAAACTTAAATGAACTTAATGACTTTACCATACAAATAAATCCTTTTTGATAGATATTCCATATATTTGAACCTCGATATGCAATACTATATATTTATATATTTATTAACGTTTTGAGGCAGTTTATGCGTGTTAATTATATTTGTTCTTAGATAATAGCTTTCATTTCTATTTATTTCAACTTGTTGTTAAGATTTTCATGAGAGATATTATTTTTGAATTGATACATAAAAAATAAATGGTAATAGATATTTGTTTCAAAAATATCCATCATTTTCATATCATTAATTGTAGATTTAGCGTGTTCACGCTTATTTTTAAAGTAAATGATTCTGCACGCATTTTTTTTTGTAAGCTATAAATTTTTTTAAGTTTTCATGGTTGCTTACTTGCCCATG